TCCTGCTTCACACTCACACAGCTGTTAAGGACTTCCTAGGTGTCTCACCTGGGGGATAACAAACCACTTTGTATCATATCTGTAACATCTCAAGAGCAATGCATAGCCTGGCTGATGGAGCTATTTAAAGTGAGAGCTTGGCCTCCCAGGTCTTAGCTGTGGATTCCTTGGGGTTGTTCCTACCTACCTGGAGTAGCTGGGTATCAACACAAGTACCTGGTGTGAAAAACCTGCTTGTGATGAATCTGTGCTTGTACTTCAGCGAGCCAGAAGAGCTTTCAATCAAGCTCATTCCTTCTTCAAAGCCAGGACAGATGCCGAGGCTGCCTCAAGATTTCCTGTTTCAGCAGGCAACACTGGGAGCTGTGTCATTTTACTCCTGCTAATGCTGGGTCAGTAACTAGTGGTGTCTCCCAGTTATACCTGTGTTTGTGTTAGTTCTTTACCTTTGATCTCCCATGTAAAGGGAGCACCTTACACAGCATATACAAGGGTACCCAGAAACATGAGGCAAAAGCCTGTGGTTTCAGCTTCTGGCAATGAATTGCCAGGTGTAGACTTTGCCCAAACCAGCAGCCCCCTGACATTTTTAAGCAGCTCTACTTCCCAACTCTCCCCCTCTGCCCATTACTGTCACTTGTCTCCTCATGCCCCAACAAAAATCCACCCTGGCACCATTTCTCACCCTCATCTCTCTCCCTCTTGCTCCACGCAGCACCAAACCAGACCTGCCCTTGTCCCTTTCCAACCTGCACTGCTCCTTCCTCGAGGGGTTCACTCTCCTTGTCCTTTTCCCTGAAATCCCTGCTGCTGCTGGAGCCCTGGGACAGTAAGACCTGGCTCTTTTAAGCTGTGAAATGACAATGTTCAGTCTTAACTAAGACCCAGCAGCAAAGCACTGGCTGGCAACAGATTTGCTTCTCCACTGAAGGACGTCGGGCAAAGAGGGGCAGAAATGCCCTGTCCGGGCAAAGCCAAGGGGCACCCAGGCATGAGGACTCCCTTCCCAAGGGGAATGCAACACCCGCTCCAGTGACGAGGGCCTGACGCTCTCCCAGAGCTGCTCGCCCCCCCAAACCCCGAGATCCCCTTCACCCCACGAAGCCCCGGGGGTGTGTGCGCTCCGGGCCGGGTTCCCGGCAGCCGGGGGG